GTAACCAGACAAGTTGGACACACAGGAACAGAGGGGTTGAGGGCCCTGCTCAATGAGCTTACATGCTAGAGGGAGTGGGGTAAAATGACACAAAAAGGTAAGGATAGTATTAGACTAATGACGGTTGCAGAAGAGGAATCAGTCAGGAGCAATTAACAGTTTAATGGATACACTTTTATGAAGAAGTGGGTTTTTAACGATTTTTTGAAGGAGTGGAGACTGGGTGAGCATCTAACGGAGGAGGGAAGCGAGTTCCACAGGAACAGTGCAGCCCTCGAGAAATCTTGAAGGCGAGCATCAGAGGTGGGAGTACGGACAGAAGATAGACGTAAGTCTTCAGCAGATCGTAAGGGCCTAGACGGGACATACTTGTGTATAAGGGAGGATAGATAGGTGGGAGCATTATTATGTAGAGATTTGAAAGCAAGAACCAGAATTTTAAATTGAGCTCTATATTTTATAGGAAGCCAGTGTAGGTATTGACAGAAGGGTGAAGCATGGGAGGTGCGTGCGGACAGGAAGATGAGCCTTGCCGCGCATTCATTATCACTATCAGCCAGTGCTACCCTAGATTTTAGAATCACAGCAATATTACTACAATAACATAATAACAATGAGCACTAAAAGGTTTTAGAATCAGGTAACAAAGAACTAGCTTTACCTACAGTGAGGGAAAATGTATTTGATCCTCTGCTGTTTTTGAACGTTTGCCCACTGACAAAGAAATGATCAGTCTATAATTTTAATGGTAGGTGTATTTTAACAGTGAGAGACAGAATAACAAAAAAAGAAAAAAGAAAAACTCATGTCAAAAAAGGTATAAATTGATTTGCATGTCAATGAGTGAAATAAGTATTTGACCCCTTCGACTTAGTACTTGGTGGCAATCGCAGATGGCCACCAGGTTTGCACACATCTCAGGAGGGATTTTGTCCCACTCCTCTTTGCAGATCCTTTCCAAGTCATTAAGGTTTTGAGGCTTTGGAAACTCGAACTTTCAGCACCCTCCACAGATTTTCTATGGGATTAAGGTCTGGAGACTGGCTAGGTCACACCAGGACCTTAATGTGCTTCTTCTTGAGCCACTCCTTTGTTGCCTTGGCTGTGTGGTTTGGGTCATTGTCATGCTGAAATACCCATTCCACGACCCAATTTCAATGCCCTGGCCGAGGGAAGGAGGTTCTCACCCAATATTTGACAGCACATGGCCTGTCCACCATCCCTTTGATGCATTGTAGTTGTCCTGTGCCCTTAACAGAAAAACACCCCAAAAGCATAATGCTTCCATCTCCATGTTTGACAGTGGGGATGGTGTTTTTGGGGTCATAGGCAGCATACCTCCTCCTCAAAATACGGCGAGCTGAGTAGATGCCAAGGAGCTTGATTTTGGTCTCATCTAACCACAATACTTTCACCCAGTTCTCCTCTGAATCATTCAGATTTCATAGGCAAACTTCAGACGGGCCTGTACATGTGCTTTCTTGAGCAGGGGGACCTTGCGGGCTCTGCAGGATTTCAGTCCTTCATGGCGTAGTGTGTTACCAATTGTTTTCTTGGTGACTATGGTCCCAGCTGCCTTGTGATCATTAACAAGATCCTCCCATGTAGTTCTGGGCTGATTCCTCACCATTCTCATAATCATTGAAACTCCACGAGGTGAGAGCTAGCATAGAGCACCAGACTGAGGGAGACTGACAGTTATTTTGTGTTTCTTCCGTTTACGAATGATCACACCAACTGTTGTCACCTTCTCACCAAGCTGCTTGGTAATGGTCTTGTAGCCCATTTCAGCACTGTGTAGGTCTACAATCTTGTCCCTGACATCCTTGGACTGCTCTTTGGTCTTGGCCATGGTAGAGAGTTTGGAATATGATTGATTGATTGCTTCTGTGGACAAGTGTCTTTTATACAGGTAATGAGCTGAGATTTGGAGCACTCCCTTTTAGATGAGTGTATAAAAGATACCTGGGAGACAGAAATCTTGCTCATTGATTGCGGATCAAATACTTATTCCACTCATTGACATACAAATCAATTTATACCTTTTTTGACATGCATTTTTCAGGATTTTTTTTTAATTCTGCCTCTCACTGTTAAAATACACCTACCTTTAAAATTATAGACTGATCATTTCTTTGTCAGTGGACAAACGTTCTAAAATCAGCAGAGGAGCAAATACTTTTTTCCCTTACTGTATATCAAGGTTCCAGAAATATCCATAATGGACCTACAGTCTCACATTTTGTGTTGTCTCCAGAATCCTTGAAATTATATTATTTCCTTTTTAATACAAAGTACCTCTACTATAATCTTTCAGTATAACATTTGACTATTATAAATGTTTGAGATTTTAAACATATGGATGGACCTGGATCCTGACAAAATTTTAGTCAATTACACCATGTTTGCTTTACAATGTGTTATTATTTCTTCCTTGACACATCTTTATTGTGAAGAATTGATTTAGTAAATTGAGGAAAGTTCAGCAAAGAAAGAATATAAAATTGATAAAAGTAATGAAATATTTAAGGTCAGATAATAAAAAAAAAGTTTACACTACGATAACATTATACAACTGTGCCAACACAATAAAAGAAGCTCGATGATGATATGTTTTTTGAGAAGGTTACACAAGGGAAATTAGGTTATCCATTGAAATATAAGGAAATTAATATTCACACAGAGCATATGATAGTGATATTTACAAAAGGTATATGTGAACTTTCAAATTCAGTAAAAAAGGATTTGGACACTTTTGTTGACACAAGTATATATATTGGAAGGCATGGCCTGAAGTTGTGGGAGGGGCTATAGACCTATAAAAGGGACTCCCCCTCTCCCTACTTACCTTTGTTGGTCAGACGAATAGACTGTTCAAGGTCAGCATTTGCATGAGATCCACTTCCAGGTCATACAAGACGCCATTTTGGTTTCACCTTTGCTCCATGAGGTCTCTTACTCCAAGCTGTGTCCATGAATCCTGCAGCAGGGATTTCCGTTAATCCAGTGGCTTTCTCTCCGGTCAGCATCGCATTTGGTTTCTCAGGGACTCTCAAACCGTAAGTTGACCCACCTGTCGCGCCAGGATTAGTTCCCACGGCGTTCAACACAGCACGGGTCCTCACTTTACGGTTTCCTTTAGTTTTGCACGGTTATTTCGTTACCTTATACTCACCTAGCTGTTTATGTAAAATCTGTTGGTTAAAATCTGTTTTGGTTAAAAATCTGTTGGGTTAAAACTACAAACGACATAAAATTTTTTCGCCTACACACTGACCCCTATCGGTCCTCATTCAATGTAGTACAGGCTTCTCAGATATTATTGCATTTCATGTACGAACCACTGCATTTGTGCCTACACACTGACCCCTATCAGTCATCGGTGTACTACAGGTTTCTTAGACGTTTTTGCATTTCATGTACAAACCACTGCATTTTCACTGCATTTTCACCAAGACACTGACCCCTACCGGTCATTCTGTGTACTACAGGCATCTCAGACATTATTGCATTTCATGTACGAACCACTGCATTTGTGCCTACACACTGACCCCTATCGGTCATCGGTGTACTACACTACAGGTTCTTAGACGTTTTTGCATTTCATGTACAAACCACTGCATTTTCACCAAGACACTGACCCCTACCAGTCATTTTGTGTAACTACAGGCATCTCAGACACTATTGCATTTCATGTACAAACCAACGAACCACTGCATTGGCGCCTACACACTGACCCCTACCGGTCATTCGGTGTACTACAGGCTTCTTAGACATTATTGCATTTCATGTACAAACCAACGAACCACTGCATTTTCATCTAGACACTGACCCCTACCGGTCATTCGGGTACTACAGGCATCTCAGACATTATTGCATTTCATCTACAAACCAACGAACCACTGCATTTGCGCCTACACACTGACCCCTATCGGTCATTCGGTGTACTACAGGCTTCTCAGATATTATTGCATTTCATGTACAAACCAACGAACCACTGCATTTTCACCTAGACACTGACCCCTATCGGTCATTCGGTGTACTACAGGCTTCTTAGACGTTTTTTGCATTTCATGTTCAAACCAATTAACCACTGCATTTTAACCTACACACTGACCCCTACCAGTCATTCAGTGTACTACAGGCTTCTCAGATATTATTGCATTTCATGTACAAACCAACAAACCACTGCATTTTCACCTAGACACTGACCCCTATCGGTCATTCGGTGTACTATAGGCTTCTTAGAAGTTTTTTGCATTTCATGTACAAACCACTGCATTTTCACTGCATTTTCACTGCATTTTCACTGCATTTTCACTGCATTTTCACCAAGACACTGACCCCTACCAGTCATTTGGTGTAACTACAGGCATCTCAGACATTATTGCATTTCATGTACAAACCAACGAACCACTGCATTTGCGCCTACACACTGACCCCTACCGGTCATTCGGTGTACTACAGGCTTCTCAGACATTATTGCATTTCATGTACAAACCAGCGAACCACGGCATTTTCGCCTACATGCTGACCCTTACTGGTCATTCAGTGTACTACAGGCTTCTCAGACTTTATTTCACTTCATAAGCAAACAAACTAACTACAGCATTTTCACTTTTATACTGACTCCTATCTGTCAAACGGTATACTACAGGCTTTTCAGACATATGGTTATTCCCCTCATAACATTCCCACTATAATTATAATTACACAATAACACTTCCTTATAAATCATGCTTACTATGATATCATTCCTGCATACCTGCCTTCATAGGCATTTGGTTACATTTACTGACAATACGCATACATTTACCCAAGAATACACATACTATTTAAAGCACTATGCAGTTTTCCAGAGTCTAATACGGAATATTTGTACGCTTAAAATATAAGTCCTTCCAATTATGTATTTTCACTTATTAGGTTATTCAGCTGCCAGTCATGGTTCACTACACTCATGTTTCGGGGTACAGTTGTGTTCCATATCACACATGATATAACACTCCCGACAAGTTAATTTCCTTCAAACGGGCATTACAAGCATACAATAAACATTGGGACAGAGCACTTTGCTCTATTAAACTTGCATAACACACATATGGATATACGCTTTTAAATGTCTATATTCGATTTTCATACATTGTTTTACCCGTCTGGGATACAGGTATTAATAACCTTTACGACCAGTAAGGGTATCTAATCATACTACCAGGTACATACACCTGCTCATGTGGTATATACATACATTTCTGTTTCCCCCTGGGTATATCCTTAGCGTACTGGCAATTAGGGACTATAGGTTTCCAATAGATATTTTCCTTTCTTGGCATCTACGCCTGTCGTATAGTGGTCCCGCGAGGCCAACACCCCGCCTCAACGCTCGGAGGCAAACACCCATCGGGCCACTCGTGAGCTAGCCGCCTCGCATGGTATATAGAGAGGGCCTCACCTGTCACTCCCTTCACCTTTTTTATGGTTACAGTCACCGAGAGGCCAACATCCTGCCACTACGTTTGGTGGCCACAAAAATCCCCTCGCGCCATTGCATAGATAGAGCCTCTCAAGCCACTTGGCAACTAGCAGGGCCTCACCTGTCACCAAACAAAGGATTAATTGTTTCGCCTTGCGGCTTTAGCTAGCAAGCCAGTACTAGCACACTGTGGGTTCATATAATAATGGCTATCTTCATATTTTTAGTATGTATCAAGCAGGTGGTAAGGATTTCTCTCTACCTAACACTCCAGCTAGAGTCAACACACTTTCACTTGGAGATGTTGCTAGTCCCACAGGACAATTTTGTCCCAACACAGCGGATGATCACGTTTCAGGCTCCAGGCTCTAGCACCTCTGGTAGGACGTAGCGAACTACCCGAGATAAATTGGGTCGTCTCATTCTCTTTGGCAAATCCCAGATTTGCAACAATTTCCATGTTGGCACATGTAGTTTCAGTGCATGCAGACTGTTGCAGATATGTTCCCAATATGTCAGGGCACATGCAAAACCATGTGTCCCAATAAATGTACCCTGAACCTTACTTCTCGTCTGTAAACATTATGCATTTCCAGTACTTTCTAACTTATCACCCTTCCAGACATTTAGTTTATTTCCTAATCTCCGATTTTAAAGGCCTTCTGTTCAGGTATTGCCATATACTTTTGGGGAAATCTAGAATGCCCTAACTTGCAGTCATCACAGCAGCATCCAACAGCTGGCATTACACTCATGGCCCAAGAAATGGCAGAAATATTTCTACCTGGGCCTCTCCGATCTACACTATTTACAGTGTGGCGCAATCCCATTGTAACTGATCATAGACTTATCTGCACCTCACGCCTCGGCTACCCCATAATCTCAACTCCCTCATACTCTCCGAGGAGTTTTCATTACAGTATGCCACCATTGTTCATACCATGACAACTCACTCAAGCAGGGAGGGGAAGTCTGGTTAAGTAAAACTGATATCACAAACGCATTTCAGACTGCCACCATCCACCCTGCACTGGCACTTACAGGGCATTTATGGGCAGCAGTTATATATTTCTTCTCCCGCTTAACTTTCGGGTCAAGAGCAGCCCACAATCTTCAATATATTCGTTGAACTCTTTACTGGTTGTGGTTAAACATATCCAGATGCCCCACAGTCATACACTCCCGAGATGATTTCTTGTTGGTCAAAGGGAATGCCTTTCCCTCTAGAAGCTTCAAGGAAGCCATTAGTATGTCTGAACACTTGGGTGTCCCAGTATTCCCTAAGGTCACAGAAGACCCAGACACTGTCGTTACATTCCTGGGCATACAACTTGACTCGGCATCCATACCAACAAATTACCACGCGAGAAATAGGAACAGTCGCAACAACACCAATTACCACCTCCTGCTTGGTACTTGCAACCACATGGAACTACAATCCCTACCAGGTTCCTTAAATTTTGCCATGCACATCGTACCGCAGGCCACGCTTTCATCTCAGACCACTTTGCTTTTTCCTCCCTCCCGAATGATGATCAGGGGCTGTCCCTAGACAACCAAGCCATGGCAGACCTACACATATGGTGGACTTTCTTAACCACACGTAATGGTAAATTATTGTGGCAGCTGCCGTGACAGCCGCCATGGCAGGGGGTCATTTATGGTCAAGGTCATGGATTACATGAACCTCGCCAACATATCCGGGCTCTGACTAAACTGGCCTTGTCCATCAGCACTCAACACGCTTGCTACAGGGTTTTCCACTTATACAATACGTTTCATGTCGGACCATCACTTAGATAGCTGGTTTGAGGTTTCACCACGTATGTCCTTCGCCTCTTTTTTGCCACCTTAAGTTAATAATTCTCGCACAACACGGTTAAACTTTATCTCACGGGCATTCAACCCTATACGTATTTCTCCATCCCAAACAACAAGGCTTCCTATCCTCCTACCCCATACATGCCTTACTTAGAGACATGGCCAAGCGGACGTTCCTGCTAAAACTAAATACTGGCCATAGACATACAATGTTCAAACCATGACAGAACCACTCGACCATGCACTTCCGAGCCACGCACCAATGCAGTTATCAAAACTGCTACCTATCTAGCCTTTAACGGCTTTCTCAGGCCAAAACAATAACTCACTATCAGCGGCCAACATCATAAACAAGAGTACCTGGTGACCTCTTATCCTCTAAAACACACAGACCACTATGTCCGGTCCCTTCCTAAAACTAAGATGAGTCAGAGGGGCCAGCCAGTGCATATTACCTACTACCTTACAAGCAATGCCGGGTGCCCGGTTAAGGTACTGATTACGTTCTTGGGCACGCCACCATACGCACCACTGAACCATTACTGTCGCTGTACGATACTGTCCTTACCACAGGTAAGTTCATGCACTATGTCCACCTACTCATTCATCGTGCTCGAACTAAACCCTAGCGACTACTCAGGGCACTCCTTTTGGATAGGAGCAGCTTACACAGCCCATAGCCAAGACATCCCCGCACACGTTAAGACACGGGGCCGCTGGGAATCATAGGCTTATGCGATGTACATACCACAGCCGATTCAGGAATTAGGACGCTTTCATTAAAATGTCTAACTGATGGTTAACAAATGCACTATGATCCTGTATAATGTTTTGCATTAATATTTCTCTTTTTGCCCACTTTTTACCGGCTTACAGCATACGTCGGTTTCGGCACACCTCAACCGATTATTCCTAAAGCTACATCTCTACAACCCATCTTATTCTATATCATATGAGAATGCCCCGAACACAAATTGGAAGGCATGGCCTGAAGTTGTGGGAGGGGCTATAGACCTATAAAAGGGACTCCCCCTCTCCCTACTTACCTTTGTTGGTCAGACGAATAGCCCCACCCTCCACTCCCATTGTTCATATTTCCTCTATGTAAGCCCACTTTTTACTGGCTTACAGCATACGTCGGTTTCGGCACACCTCAACCGATTATTCCTAAAGCTACATCTCTACAACCCATCTTATTCTATATCATATGAGAATGCCCCGAACACAAATATATATATATATATATATATATAACAAATGAAAAAGAGATGCACTCTAAGGTCTTTAGAAGAAATCACTTGTCTTTAATATCCAACAAAGTTACATAAATTATATATATATATACATACATACACGCATACACGTATACATGCACATTTATATACTCTGATACATGCTCTTTCACACACCACACATATACACAGATATTCCAGACACACTCACTAATACAACTGTAAGAAATACAAACACACACACACACAATATTATTATTAATAACCTGTTATGCTACAACATATTTTTAATGTTCATTTCCTTAAAATGCCTGATGCCTATTCGTGCTATTCCAGGAAAGTGTGTAAGTAATCAAATATGTGCTTTATCATGCATTTTTTGAGCATTTTATTTTCTATAAAATTCTGTGGGTGCAATAAGACCTACATTAACAAACTCAGATTCCCACAATTTGTCTGGACTCCCTGCTAAATCTTCACTTCCTTACTCAGGATTGACTATCCCGCTTTCCTGTAATCCTGCATATACCACATCTTCCTCTCTGGGACCTCAATGAAAGCTCCATAACATCAAAACATCAGTTTACAAACCAAATAATTTCAAAAAAGGTTAAATGGGCATGTGTAAATAAATAGAGACGATTAGGTTAGTTTGTCCTAATTGAGTGGAAAAATTGGAATGAACGTAGAGTACTCAGGCAGATAGAATATGGAAATCGGATAGGCTGGAACTAACATAAATCTCTACTGGTAAATCAAAATCACCCCCATTAAGGCTGGAAAGAAATAGTGTATGGTAAGGATACTAGATCCTGAACGTACCAGGAAATGAATGATGAGACCTCATCTACAAAAAACAATATTAATGTATAATTTTGGAGGGAGTTGCAGGAAAAGTGCTGCCCATAAAGGGAAAAAAGGCTAAAGAGTGAACTGGTGAAAAATAAATAATAACTATAAAGATCAGAAATTGAAATAAAATCAAGGTATAAACTAAAATCCACATGCAATGCAAATATTATTGGTACAATAGTTGAAAACCAGAAATAATGTATTAATGGGTGGCAAATGCCAGTCCATTGTAAAAGTCTGTAGCAATGAGAGTGGCAAAGTCTTGTAGCAAGAATGTATCAGATCTCTAAAAAAACAGAATCCTGTTACTGAATAGCAGGAGCTGGATAATTTTAGGCTGATATATTATAACCTATATAGCACAGTACAAAATAGGTATAAAATATCTTACAGCAATATTCACTCTGTTCCAAATTATTATGCAAATTATATTTTTCTCATTTACCTAAATAATTGATGTAAATAACAGTCAGCATAATTCTCATGTTATCAACTATTAAGAGTACAATTCAAATTTTATTGAACAAACCTCCTAATGATAACAGTATTTTTTTTAAACATAAAAACTTACAATGCACTGTTCCAAATTATTACGCACAGTAAGTTTCAAAACACGTTATAGGTTGTAAAGAACTGAAAATTGTCATTTGTTGTGTTTGCAGCATATTTACTGAAATCAAAAGCTATTTCAATCAAACTTATAACAACATTTTAACTTTGGTCACGTTACATTTTAACATAGGACCCCTTATTTGATAGTAGCTTCACAAGTCTTGCATTCATTGAACTTGTGAGTTTTTGGACAGTTTCTGCTTGAATTTGTTTGCAAGATGTCAGA